GTGCTCGACGACTGAGCGTCGTTGCCCTGGCGGGCTTGCTCTATTGCCAAGCGCAACCGCACCTTCACGTGGCTGACGGCTGCCGCCATGCTGTCGGGGATCATGGCTGTGGTGGGCGCCCCATGGAGCAGGATGCGGCCCCGCCCGATGGCATCCCACCAGTCCAGGTTGACGAAGCCCACCTCGTGGTACGCGTCCTCGCTCGTCACCTGGTCGTCCAGGTAGTCGTCGTAGACGCCTGTCTCGAGTCCGCCATCCTCGCCTGCTTCCGCAGGAACGTCGAGTGGCGGTTGTAGGATGTCCGCCGTGGTCGGCACCGCTGCCTCGGCCGCCCCCAGGGGAGCCCCCCGCGCGCCTGGGCCGCACGCTCCTGGCGCGGCGGCGGCAGGGGGCCCCGGGGCTGCCCCAGTGCCCCCTGCCGCGCCATCTCCCTGGGTGGGAGGGGTGGGGGCCTGGCCTTCGACTGTCTCCAGCAGGGGCAGGATGGGCCCCCCTCGGGCCTCCAGGGCTGCCGTGAGGCGATCCCTGTCGCCCTCAGAGAGCTGAGTAAAGCCCACCATCGCCGTAGCTGGTGGTAGTGGGCCATCAACGCAGGCCATGTGGAACCACTTCCTGCCCGCGTGCGCCTGGGACCCCGCGGGTGGTGTCACGACGCCTGCCACGCGCCACTCGCCAGCCTCGAAACCTCCCATGCAGCGCGTGCAGTGAGCCTTCTTGCCACGGGCCGCCTGGGCGCTGGCGCACCAACGGGCGATGCGTCCGCCCGTCATGCGGCGCCGCCTCTGTGCTGGCTGGCCATCGCTGTCACGCATGTGGACGTCGGCGTTGCCATCCACGGGGATGCCGGCTGCGTTCACGCCAGCCGACGCGGGAGCGGCCGCGGAGGCGCACGGGGCGGCCCCAGCACCTCCTCTGCCTCCTGCAGCTGCCAGCACTCCGCCTTCGCCTCGAGCCGCATCGGCGTTACTCCCAGCCACTCGAGCCCCTGCACCTGCGTCCGCAGCGCCGCCAGCGGCCGCTGCCATCCCAGGACGTCCCTTCAGGGCAAGGAAAAGTGTTCGTAACAGTGAGGGCGCGAGAAAAGGAAGGGTGACTGTCACCCGCGGTTTGAGGGCAGCAGTAGCCCCCTCGCCCACAGGCTCCCCAGAGCCTTGGGGGGACTACTACTACTACTACTACTACTACTACTACTACTACTACTACTCCTACTACTACTCCTACTACTACTACTACTACCACTACTACTACTACTATTACTCCTACTTCTTCTTCTTTTACTACTACTACTGCTACTGCTACTACTACTACTACTACTACTACTACTACTACTACTGCAACAACTACCACCACCACCACCACCACCACCACCACGACTACTACTAATACTACTACTACTACTACTACTACTACTACTGCTACTACTACTACTACTACTACTAC